TGATAGAATTGGGACACTCAGTTTAAAACCAAATGGGAAATAAAAAGACTTGGTATGTTTTTATTTATTTAAATATCATTTATTTAATGATGCTTTTATTTATTTTGGGGAAAAAACACTAAAACATACACTCAAAAAATAAATAAGTAAATAAAACAACTCAACTTTAAAAAACTGAAGTAATTTGTCACAGCTAATATTTTTTCATTGACCAAATGTAACAAAATGGGTTTAGGTTACTGTAAATTATTTATTAACATTTGGTCAGTGCTAAAATATTAGCTGTGACAGAATATTTCAGTTTTTTTTATCAGTGTTATATTTTGTTTTGCTTTTAAACTGTGTTATGTATTTCTTTGGATTTTAAGAGTAAAATAGTTTTATTATATATATGTATGAAGAAAAAAAAAGAGTAAAATAGTTATTTTTATTAAGTGACTTCTTTTTTATCAGAATCAGTTTTTTTTTTTTAGTTTTTTGTTCTTTTTTATTTTGTGTGTCTGTTCACTTTGTTCCTTTTTGGTTTGTTTATTTTATTGTTCCTTTGTTCCACCATTTCTGATTTTCATTTCTACAGTCAGTATTTTTCCAGTCGGCCTGCCACGCCCCTCTGTTTCATCAGTCACAGCTGCAGCCACTCTACACATCAGCATCAATCCATATAATCCTCCGTTTCACTGAGCTGCTTGCATGACATCATTTTGTTGATTTGTCCTTTAGAGCACCTTGTGTCAGTCTACATTTCTAATAAAATGAGTAACTTGTGTTTGATTGTGTTATTAGGAGCAATAAGAGGGAATAAATTCAAAAGTTCTGTTCATTTTATCACTTGAATTATCGTTAAAGTCAAGCTGGATGTTATGTAACAGGGTCACACAGTGGCTGATACTCTTGTGCACATGTTGATTATTAATAAATCTGCAGAGTTCAGATTCTGTTAATACAACAGACAGTTTTCCCATGATGCTTCAGACCCGCCTGCCTCGGCTCAGCTGACCCTGTCGTTTTGATGACGCTCTCCCACCACCTTTTTCCTTCCCATGACCCCTCAGCACCGAAGGCTGGCTGTCAATCAAACGTCTCTGCTCTGTTCTGCATGAAATAACAACAATCAGACCGCCGGGTTCTCATGTTCTCTACATGACAGCTACAGGTTGGACCTCTTAAAGGACACAACATGTTTATAAAGCTTCAGTTCTTCAGTCAGCAGGTCAAGTTCACAACAATTTAGTCTTATTTGTTCAGTCAGAACAGTAGGCCATGAACAGAAAAACTGCTAGAACTCAGTCAGTTTCACAGATATGAGCTGAAATTTGTTCTGTATGACAGAATATTACAGCCACAAAAGACCTTTTTTATTACGAGAAGTCATAATATTATGGAAATAAAGTTATTGTATTACAACATTAATGCTGTAAATTAGGACTTTTTTCTCGTAATTTAAAATAAAAATCTTGTTGTGTGCCCCTAAAACTCCATCGTAGTTCTGATGTAATACACATTAAAACATTAAAGATGATCTTTACCATTTTACTCTTAACAATTTGGAATAAATTATGTCTGTCTGTTAGCAAAATAATTCATGGACCTCAGGACCAGAGCCGGCTCTTGGCATAGGCGAACTAGGCGGTCACCTAGAGCGCCATCTGTTGGAGGG